ACTAAAATACAATGTATATATAATAATATTTAATTATGTACAAATAACAGATAAAATATAGTTTTTATATTTACTTAATGCTGTCAGATCATCAAGCCGAGAAAAAACCAACCGAATACAAACTGAAACTTAAATTTGATTCACCGCAGAAGTACGTAGCAAGATGGTTAGGTACACCTTAGTGTCGGTAATTAGGTAAATTTTATTCGTAGTTTTGATTTTTTTACATACTTGAGCAGACTGGTGGTAGGACCTCTTGTGAGTCCGCGCGGGTGGGTACCAACCACCACCCTGCCTAGTTCTGCCGTGAAGCAGTAATGCGTTTCGGTTTGAAGGGTGGGGCAGCCGCTGTAACTATACTTGAGACCTTAGAACTTATATCTCAAGATGGGTGGCGCATTTACGTTGTGGATGTCTATGGGCTCCAGTAACACTTACCAGGTGGGCTGTGAGCTCGTCCACCCATCAAAGCAATAAAAAAAAGACCTACCAGCCAACCACTATTGCGACTAGATACGTTCTCATGATTCCTCCTGATCTACTCTTAGTGTTGTTGGACGCCACAAGTACTAACACTAGCAGAAACTAAAGCGCAAGTCTCCCCTACTTTTCGAACTAATTAATACGTAGCTCCTAGCATCAGAACGCACAGTTTCTCATCGGATTTCCTCAGGAAGTCACTATTTCGACCCGGAATTGCATTCACGGACATATGTTGTTAGGCGGCGGTTGGTGACAGTTTTTAACAAAATACTTTTATTACAGACTAGCGACCCGCCCTCGCTTCGCTTCGGAAACATTAAAACACACATGAAACAAAAAAAAAAAAAAAAAGTAGCCTATGTTCATCAGGGACAATGTCGGCTTCTAATGGAAAAAGAATTTTTCAAATCGGTCCAGTAGTTTCGGAGCCTATTCGAAACAAACAAACAAACAAATCTTTCCTCTTTATAATATTTGTATAGAAAATATACCTCCTCCTCGCGTCGTTTCCTCACTGCTGAGGGTCGTGACCATTATATGTCGACAGGATTTTGTTCCTTGTAATGTTCCGCCAGCGCCTCCGATCATTGGCCGCATGAACGGCATCGTGGATTGGGATCTCGAGTGTGGTGCGGATTTGGTCGAACCACCTTGTCGGACTGCGCCCGCGCGGTCTCTTTTCCTCGATCTTCCCTGTCACGAATAGTCTCTAGAGACTATAGAAAATATACACTTAATTAAAAATAGTATCTTTTGAAATTCTATGCCAAAGCACGAAACTGACTGCATCGCCATGTGGTGACTACAGTATTTATGCATTCTAGTCATACTAGGAAACGAAGAAAGCATGTAGCATAAGGCTTTTCTCAGCATTTAAGGGGAAGAAAATAAGCTTATAGCAGTTATCAAGCTTCCACTGAATCTTCGAGTTCAATCCCCCACGCCACTGCTCGATCGACAAAACCAAGCCAATCACAATCCTTCCTTCCCGTTACTCCCTTACCCTATCTAATTAACTGTGACGATTAGTTAGCGTATTCGTACCACAATGATCACAGGCATACATCAAATATTCCTTTTTCCTCATACCGACACGAATAATCATAAAAGTGGAAATTCCGCATAACAAAGCGAAATAGTCAATAACGTAACATCAAAGAGTCATAACATAAAGATAATTGCCCGTGCACGGTTCATTAATTATTGCAAAACGTTTTATTTCCGATTCAGGAGTTGTTAACGAATTCTCTTTCAATGAACAAACGAAAATGTTGAAATTATGCGAATAACATAACATGGTCATTGGGTTCTATTGTTTGTTTTATAAGCGGTTGGATATTTGTTATTGAGTTTTTTTTTTTATTGCTTAGTTGGCTGGACGAGCTCACAGCCCACCTGGTGTTAAGTGGTTACTGGAGCCCATAGACATCTAGAACATAAAATGCGCCACCCACCTTGAGATATAAGTTCTAAGGTCTCAGTATAGTTACAACGGCTGCCCCACCCTTCAAGCCGAAACGTTCGAACTGCTTCACGGCAGAAATAGGCGAGGTGGTGGTACCTACATAGGCGGGGATACATTTCCTGCCAGAAATATTGTGTCTGTTCAAGCACCGGTCACCGTTCTCGTTGAATCGTCGATTACGAAAAAAAGTTCGACGTGCAAACTAGCACATAGACACAATCCACTAAGTTTCTTGCCGGATCTTCTCAGTGAGTTGCGATTCCGGCCCGGTGAATCTTGAGAAGCACTGCTCTTGCTAGGGGCAGTTTTAGCATTTCTCTCAAGTTGGGCCCGTGAGCTCACGACTACCGTTCCGCACGTAGTTGTTATAGCCCCTTAGACTACCGCCTATTAGGTAGGCGAAAAAAACATTGTGTTTAGAAGCTAAAATGATGCCTTACTAATAGATTTAATCTTAGAAATGTATAAATTTTGATTTGATTTTCGATAAGACAACCAATGTATTCGTAACGATTGGTGTCAGATACCAATTTTTTTTTACCAAATGAAGGAATCTTCATCTTGAACTACAAATGAAAGCCACAAATTAAAAAAAAAAATCTATGTGCTATTGGTTATCCGTGACGTGCTTCTGTTCTACCTCAAAACAAACACGCGTTCCAGTTTCTAGGACAGAATACTCTGTATTCAATCCAGTTAAGAATTTGTATTGGTTTAATATGGGTAGCGATATTCACTATCTGATTCCCTTAGCTCCAGCTATGTGATACGAAGCGTGCACTAGGTACATACATCATCTATGCAGAAGAAATTAAAATAAATATCTCCCCTAGAAGTCTTAGAAAATAACTCGGGCTATCCATTTCCAGTCCATTCCGTGGAACAGTGGGTTGTATGAAATCACCATTACATTATACGTAGCCTACTTCGTAAATGTTCTCTCTATACACAACTACATACCCGTAATGTGGATTCGAGTCGATTGTTTGTTGCGACTATATATTTCCTGGAAATAGACGAGAAGCTTAGCCCAAAAAGAAATGTTGGTTGTGACTTAGGTTGTGGTCGCGTATTGAATATTGATCTTCGAACATTTGTACTATTTGTTGTAGTCCCTAGTCTTCTAGGGAATCAGAATAGCTGACTTAGAAACTCCTGTTGCGTTCATTTTTTATATCGAAAGATATTCAGATGTATTTGAAAGCTCACGTATTGAGTTTATTAGTAATAAAGTCCCAGCAGTCTATATGCAAAATAAATTGAATACTATATATAGTTCATCTTGAATCATGAAAGGAGGGCTATAAGGATGAGGTCAATGTCACTTCAGAGATCTATTTTTGCAAGATTTCTTTTGCACGTAGATTTAATAGAACTATTCTAAAAGCCCGGTCATGTTAACCATTAGCGAAACACTTGGACAACAAAGATGAGACAGAAATCAGACAGTTATCAGGCTTAAGAAACGTAGTGCCTAAAAGGTGAAATTTATGATGAACTTACAAAGCACAAGAAATAAACAATAATGTGGAATAATAATGATAAAACTTTATTCATTTCCTTGTAAACTCACGAATACAATGCTACAAAGAAAACTTGTACAAATGTGATTTAATTGCCAATTACACTAACATTTAATAAAATTCTCTGTCAAACAAGAACCGAATCAGACAAAAATAATTAATTATACTCTTTTGTGATCGTTATACAGATACGTTCACTAATAGATGTATTTTTCACGATTTAGCCAAGTACAGGCGTCGTGGAAGATATTCGAAGAGGCTACTAGTGAACCAAAATAAGAGACCGTTGAAAGAATAATTGCAAATTAAATGTCTTCATCTAACGCGAAAGGTGAACTCCTAGAGATAAACTTCATATTTCTGCCGATATTAACAGTACAATATTTGAAAAGGAAAACCAGTCAGTAGGAAGTAGCTGAAAGAAGTCAGTTGGAAGTAACTGAAAGATAAACCTCTCATATGATCCCAGTAGAGATTATTATCCCATCCCTTTTGAAGTCGTCGTGGCCTAAAGGATAAGACGTCCGGTGCATTCGTGTTGTGCGATGCACCGGTGTTCGAATCTCAAGCGGGTACCAATTTTTCTAATGAAATACGTACTCAACAAATGTTCACGATTGACTTCCACAGTGAAGGAATAACATCGTGTAATAAAAATCAAGCAATAAGCAAAAAAAAAACAATTATCTCCCAGGCAGTATCTTTCTCCCCCCCTACCTCATCCGGGTTCTGACCTCGGAGGGGATCGGACGTCGGGTGTAAGAGTGCAGAGGAGGCAGTATCTTTCTCCTTCTCCCTGCCCCTATCTCACAGTGGGGTTGATGCGCCAAGTCCTTTTTTTATTTTTTATTGCTTAGGTGGGTGGAAGACCTTACCTTACCTGCCCCACCCTTCAAACCGAAAAGCATTACTGCCCCATCTTTCAATCATGCTGCATAGGAATTTGGCACGAGTTTTACTTAGCCACGAGAATATCGCCGGTCCGGGATTCGCACGTTCGCAAACCGAAATTTCCTCCATTTCGCTTTTTACTATTGCAGTGTCTATGGAATTTTAACCTAACCTAACTATCTAACTAGCCTAACTATGGATCTTGAACCCTAATAACACTAAAAATGCTTTATCGGGATTTCAATATCTATTCTATCTTCTGTGATCATAAAAACAGTGAAGTATTTGAGTCGTCGAAAATAATATTATGTATATTAAAAAAAAAAAACGGGAAACCGTAAAGCTGTTTTAATTATGTCTGCGACTAGGGAAAACCGAAGAAAATGTCAAGGTATAAATATATTTTTTTTTGGGAAACATTGAACAATGATTTACAAAGATTTTATTTTTATATTGCTCGAACGAGCAAGTATAGGCATCAAGTTCATTCTTTAGTATATGTTGCTAGTATAAATAGGCTTGACGCCAAAAACTAAATTAAATTTTATTGTTTCGATAGATAATCTACTGGTCTTCAAAGATCTGTCAGATTATTTTACGGAATGAAATACCACTAATTATTAATTATTATTTATTGTAATGGAAAAACAAACTTGAACATTAATATCCCTTTTAAATAAGGGCTCAAATTATTTCAAAGGGATATGCTATAAACCAATATAATTCGCCTCTACGTATGTATTGTTTACATTAGCCATTTAAAGAGATACGACATTTACGTTTCTAAAACAAAATAGTTAAACACGATTAATATACTTATAATATCTATCTTACAAATATCACTAATATATTATACAATGGACCAAGATATGTATTTACATTATTTTAAACGAGACGCTAGTAATAATAAAACTTTTCTTCGTTGGTTACAATGCTCTTTAACATTAAATTCGTTCAATTCACATATTTACACAATGAAAATTCCTAGCGTGCTATGCACTATGTATTCATTACATCGATATTTACAAAATGGACACAACAACTTCAATACAAAGTCTAAGTTAATTTTAATATTATTTAAAACTACCTACTAATATTTTATAATATCACTATTATTATTTTATTTAAAGATTAAAGTTTGATGATAGATAAAAAGGATATTCATTTCTAATAATACTACTTACTTACGAAAGTGGTTTATTTATTAAATTTTGAGCAAATCAGCAATTTCAGCGAGAACATCTATTTAAAATTTTAAATCACCTTTAGTCTTTGGCACACCTTTATTAACATTTAATGAATAAAAGTTTCTTGAACGCTCGCCTGAAGTCCATGTTGAAGATGGTGTAAATCAAAGGATTTAAAGCTGAATTAACGTAGCCCAGCCAAGTTATGAAGTTTATAAACTTGTTTGAGAGGCAACAGCTAACACAGAATGGTATAACGAGGTAGATGACAAAGAAAGGAAGCCAGCATACCACGAAAACGCCCATTATGATACCAAGGGTCCTTGCAGCTCTTCGTTCTCTCGTAAGCGATATTCTTTGTTTCTCTTCAATGAACTGATAAACTGCGTTAGTTTGATTTTGTTTAGGACGTTTTTGTATTTTCACGGGCGCCGCCTCAGTTATTTCTATCATATTATCCTCGTGAGTTTCCTTGGAATTACTCTCGGAAGATGTGTTTCTATTTTCGAGATTTTCTCCGATATCTGTAACGGAATTTTCATTAGATAATATCGGGATTATGAGTTTGTTGTGTGATTTATCATCTTTGCTCCAGTATCGGCGCTTCGGTTTCTTTTTTGGGGTCAATTTTCTTGTCCTGTGTTTCTTCTCGTTTTCCGCAACAAGACGTGTACTTCCTTGATGTTCGTTGGGATTAGCATCCGAGCTGACCGAATCCTGGTCGTTAGGATCACTTTCTTTAGTTTCATATTTATTCCGACCGCTGGAAATCGTACTGATTTTGGTTGCTTTAGCTCGGTCCCTTAGTCTCTTTTTGGTCGCTAAATAGATTTCAAAATAAACTACAGTCATTATGACAAGCGGAATGTAGAAGGAGCCAGATGATGAAAATATTACAAACCCTGGTTGCGAAGTTAAGCGACATGGTGTATCAGGTTCAAACACTTCAGGCCAATCGTTCCATCCAAGTAAAGGTGGAGAACTAATCACAAGCGACAGTATCCAAACGATTCCGATCATAAAGAGAACTCGTTCCAATGTTCTTTTTTGTGCGTAATTTATGGGATCCGTAATGGCCCAATATCTATCTAAGGCGATGGCGCAAAGGTTTAGAATGGACGACGTACAACACATTATGTCGCAAGTGAGCCACATTTTACAGACGTAAATGCCAAAGACCCATTGTCCGAGGATAGAATATGCAACGTTCAACGGCAGAACTAATATGGCTACGGTTAAATCTGCCACAGCTAAGGATACAATGAAGAAGTTCTGAACAATTCTAAGGGGTTTGTAGGTAAATACACTTAATATAACAAGAATGTTTCCGACCACCGTTGAAATTATAATCATCGTTAGTATTATAGCTGTACAAATAGCTTCCCATTCTGGAACAGCTAAACTTATTCCAAAACTACTAGGATATTTAGGTTCGTCAGCGACGGCGCATACGTCCTTTTCGTCTTCAATCACGTCGTAAATCTCAGTGTAATTAATGGAGGTGTAGTTATTTGCATCGTGAGTAGCTGCTTGACCCATTTTGGATATATTTCAACTACTAAATTTCAAGTAGCATGATAAAAAAATTCGCAGCGGTGAATAATTCGGCGAATAATCTCCAATAATATTCCGCACACGTATCGATCAGAATTACTTCAGTCATTTTCTCGTACGCCAGTTCTCTGTAACAATAAATAAATCGTTCAATACGTAATGGGGAAATATAGGTGATTTTGTGCTCCGGAGATTTAGTTTGCTGATGTCTAAATTACATACCGTCTGTTCGAAATGCCATGTAGCAGCTTCCATTTGTGAGATTTGTTCATTTTTTTGTGTTGCGTCGTAAATTCTGTAACAAATAAATTCTTTTTGAGAAACCGGCTTCAAAAATATGTGTTTGTGTAATATAAAAACCTTTATTAATGAAACTTATTATTATTAAAAAAACGCTATAATCGCAATTTATCTTAACGCAAGCTTCATTTTTACCTAGATAAGCACATTAAGAAACAGGTTTTTTGATGTTACCAAAACCCACAGATGTCACACTGTAAAATAATGTTCTGCTTGAAACATGAGTTCTTCTTCTTCTTTTAGCCCACAGACGTTCACTGCTGGACATAGGTCTTCCCCGAGCTGCGCCACAAAAACCGGTCTTGCGCAGCCTGCATTCAGTAGATTCCTACGACCCTTACTAGGTCGTTGGTCCACCTTGTGGAAGGTCTATCCAAGCTACGTCTTCTGGTATACGCTCGCCACTTGATAGATTTTCGGTCCCAGCGGCTACCTATTCCATGAGCAATGTGCCTAGCCCACACGAAATCGAAGTTTCAGTAATATTGGAATAGCGGTAATCTTACTCATCAAAATATACTTATGGATGGCTATTTTCCGGAGAAATAGGTTGTTGTAATCCCCCCTATAACGCAAAACTCTTATTATGCTATTTCATGTCCCGCATATAACACGTACTTTGTCCCAAGGGATCTTCCACACTATTTTATGTATACTGTGAAATTCGTAATGACTTTTACAGTTCAGAATTAATTTCGTTTTCATTTGCACATTGTGTCTATTAAGTTGTTACTAGAGGTCCCGCAGTAGTCGAAATTCGACTATAATTAATTGGAATTGTAAGTTTGTACACTATTATGATTGTATTTTATACTTCTATAATCACAAATTTCGCCAAGACTACACTATAAAAAATATTAACAAAGACAAACAATATTTAATATATTCTCAATTTGACAACAGACGTCAAGAACAAAAGTTTGACAATAAATAATATGCATGCGTGTGTGAGTCAAATACATGGTATGTAGTGTGTGTAATGTTTTCTTTATTGATTTAATGTATCTTTTATGCATTATTTTAAAAAAATATTAGCATTGTGCACTTCTTTTCTGTATTCTCTATAGGTGTGGAAAATTTCATACTCCTCCGTCCGCGCAATTTTCGTAAAAAGGGATACAAAGTTTTTGCTTCACGTATTAATATATAGATAAAATTGAATTACTTAATTAAATTAAACTCTTAGTTTTTGAATTGTAAGAACATTGATTATATACTGGTACATTTTATACTGAAACTCTAAAAGGCGTAGAAATACCAAGAAAAGTTAAGCATTACTTTATATGGGGTTACACGGGCGCGTTATACGGGAATACACATATAACACGGTACCACACCATCGTATTATAGACGGAATTACTTACACGGGGCCGAATGGTATCAAGTATTCATTTCATATTAAACCATGTAGCACAACTATAGCGAAATTCTGAAAAACTATTAACACTATCGATTGAGTGCCACTATAAACTATCGTAGCTATTTTAAACTTCATTAACTTCATGTAAAATTAAAAGATTATTGAAGAAGTCAAACTAAAAAAATATTGAAATCTACTGGTTTTTGAATGATGAGCGTACTAAGAGAGAGCTTTTATAATTTTATTTATATAAAAGATTACAATAATTTGTTTTAGTATCTTTTTGTTTTCTACCTATGCTGATAGCCTTGAGAGGCTATTTCAGCGTAACCTTAATTAACAGGTGAGCTCACGGGGCTCAAACCTGTATTAGTATCATGTAACAAACCTAATATGACATAATCGTATGTTGAAATGAGTTCACGGAACGTCTTACCTGTTAAGTCACGGACGCTCATATTGGATTGGACGACAACATGAACTCCCTATCTAAAAGTAATCCATATTACATAGCTATGAAGTATCAGAAATGAAATCCTCAAGAAACATACTAGGGGACCACAATGAAAGTTAAGTAGTTCCCTTGATAATGCAAACTCATAAATCACATTAAGAAAGAACATGTACAACATTTCACTGTTCAACTTACTTGTAATCTTTATTCCTTAGTTACTATAACTTATCTATTATTTCTTATTCCTAGATACCCGAGTTTAACTATCATCCCAAATAAATTTTCTAAATGGAGAATACCTTATTTTCGTTTTTCAGAAAAAAACGCTTCTCCTGTTCAAATCATATCTAAGGCACCTTGCCTTGACGAATATCCCTCAAGCTTGATGTTGGTAGAAGGATAAAATTTTGTCTTGAGGTGTCTACGACCTTTCGTCTATTTCTGTCGTGGAATAGTCTAGACTTCTGATATTAAGTGTGATGCAGTCCTTATAAAAATGACACTTCGATTTAATGTCTCAAGAGAGACGGTAATCGTCTATTGATATCTACGAGCATTGGTAAACAATTAAAATCAGGTTTCACCGTTTATGTATTTATTAAAAAAATCTGATGTAGAAAAATAAATTTATCTTGTAAACATTCTAGTAATTTTATTCTGTTAGATATTACAAGTCAGATAGCAAATAGTACAAAAGTAACTCTGTATATTTTTGTTATCGTTTTACGCCTAAACTACTGTGTTAATTCTGATCAAAAGTACGGAAATAATTTGAACCTTCGGAAATATTATGCAGAGGGGGTTTGCCTCCAATCCCGGGGACGTGAGGATCCAATGACTCACTGCTGATATAAAGTATAGTGCAGTTAGGCGAAGCTACTTGCGAAAAGCTATTAACTAACAGAGTCCTATCATAATTATACCGAACTTAATATCAAATGACTGGACCCTCCTTAAAATTGACGTAATGGTGTACATATTTTCACAAAAAATCTACAAAGGTCTTATGACTTGGAATACCCAATATTGTTTCTTTTAGCTTGCAGTGGCTTCTGAAAATAATCTGCATTACCCATAGCGAATGGCTGTCCGTGTTACCGGCTCTTCTTTCTTACCTAGATACTCGACACAAAGAAACGAACAATACTTTCGAAGGAAGTGCTTAACATTTGGATAAGGTATTCGATAGACAAAAGGATCCCACAATTTTTTTATTACTTATCCCTTGAGCGGTTTCATCATATGGATAGAATTAATTAATTTGAATTGCTTGCAACGCTCACATGAGCTGGAGAGTAAAGCAATAGATAATAGAATGAAGTAAACATCTCGGTTATAATATGTCCCAAAGAAGTGGGAATAATACGTATAAATCGTCCAAGAACGACGCAGGAATAACATCGTATCATAGAAAAAAAAACCAAAATATAATAAAATTGTATGGTTAGAAGTGGTAGGGTAATTTTCGCTTCGCCGCGACCCCGGTGGGTTCTGTTCGGGGCTTTTCCTTGCCCATCAGTGGCAGCGCTAGGGGTCCTCGTTGGGCCCAGAAGCGCCTCAACATCGAGCGGTTGCGTGAGGCGGCCATAGTGCAGGCGTGGCGTCTTGACTCGCTTGGCGAGCCAGCAGACGTGTGCGAGGGGGTGGAGCGTCTGCGCGAGGCAATGTCACGGGTGTGTGACGCTGCTATGCCTCGCGTGAGAGCTCTCGCTCCTAAGCGCCAAGTTCATTGGTGGACCGAGGAGATCGCCAGCCAGCGCCGGCTATGCGATATTAGTCGTCGCACATACCAGCGATATCGACGACGAAGAACGCGCCGGGACCCCAACGAGGAGGACCGCCTGTACGAAGTGTACAGGACGGCGATAAGAACCCTGCGCTTGGCTATCGGGGAGGCGAAGGAGGCCGCCTGGAACGACCTACTGGCCTCGCTGGACCGTGACCCGTGGGGGCGGCCCTACAGGCTGGCGCGTAATGCGCTTCGCCGTTGGGCTCCTCCCGCAACCAGCACCCTGCCGCCGGAAACATTGCAGCGGGTAGTCGGGGGTCTGTTTCCCGATTTATCCGGGACGGCCTTCGTCCCCCCTGTGATGACAATGGCGCGGATTGCTGATAGCGAAGAGCTTGAGGACGTCTCCCAGGTGGAGTTCGATTTGGCTGTGCAGAGGATGCGGGCTAAGCGCACGGCACCCGGTCCCGATGGGATCTCGTCCCAAGCGTGGGCGCTCGCCTTGACAGGTGACGGCTTGGGGCCTGCCCTCCAAGGGCTATTCAGCAGGTGCCTCCGTGAGGGCAGGTTCCCAGAGCCATGGAAGACTGGTCGGCTTGTCCTTATTCCTAAGGAAGGCCGGCCACGTGACGAGCCAAGCGGGTACCGCCCAATCGTCGTGCTGGACGAGGCTGGTAAGCTCCTCGAGCGCATCGTCGCCAGTCGCCTCGTCCAGCACCTCGAAAGCGTTGGGCCTGACCTGGCTCCTAACCAATATGGTTTCCGGAGAGGTCGCTCCACCATGGACGCGGTCTTGCGCGTCCGCCACCTCTCCGATCGTGCGTGCTCCGAGGGGGGCGTGTTGTTGGCTGTGTCGATTGATATCGCCAACGCCTTCAACACGATCCCTTGGAGCACGATCGTGGAATCGCTCCGGTTTCACCGCGTCCCCCCTAGTCTCCGGACCCTGATAGAGGATTACCTCTCAGGGCGAAATGTAGTCTTCCCCGAGAGGAGGGGGTGGGGACGGAAAGCGGTGTCGTGCGGGGTCCCGCAGGGGTCGGTACTGGGACCACTCCTGTGGGACATCGGTTTCGACTGGGTCCTGCGCGGTGCTAGCCTGCGTGGCGTCGACGTAGTGTGCTATGCCGACGACACGCTGGTGACGGCCCGCGGAGCCGACTACAGAGCCGCAGCGATCCTTGCGACGGCGGCGGTCTCCACCGTCGTTAGTCGCATTCGGAGATTAGGTCTTGAGGTGGCCCTCCGCAAGTCCGAAGCGGTGTGCTTTCACCCAGTCCGGAGGGGACCTCCTCCGGGAGCGAATCTCATAGTCGGCGGAGTATCGATCGCTGTCCAGCCGAAGCTCAAATATTTGGGCCTTGTGCTGGACAGTCGATGGCGCTTCGACCACCACTTTGGTGAGTTAGTCCCGAAGCTGCTGGGGATGGCGGGCGCACTAGCCCGTCTTCT